GGCCCGCGCCGTCGCCTAGAGAGGAGCCTCGGGCGCCTCGCGCGGCTGCGGGACCCGTGGCCGGCGCGACCCGGCGCGGCGCAGATGGCCCTGCTCCTCCTGCTCCTCCTGACGGCCGCCGTCGGGGGCCAGGAGGAGGCCCAGACCACCGACTGGAGGGCCACCCTCAAGACCATCCGGAACGGCGTCCACAAGATCGACACCTACCTGAACGCCGCGCTGGACCTGCTGGGGGGCGAGGACGGGCTGTGCCAGTACAAGTGCCGCGACGGTGAGGGGCCCCGGGCCCTGCGGGGCCCGCGCGTCGGGGCGGGGGGCGGAGGTCCCGGGGGGCGGAGGGCGTGGGGGGGAGCCCGTGTGGGGGAGGGCGTGGGGGGCCGTTCTTGTGACTGAGCGGCCTGTGGTAGGTTCGCACCACTGTTAGAATGTGGGAGGTCGCCCCGGGGGTGCTCTCCGCTGTTCCCGTAGCTTCCGAATTATTTATTAATGTTTTTTGCAAATGCACGAAGTTGCCTAAGAACTTAGTGCCGTACGCGTCCTGGGAATGGAGCGAACAGACTGATTTTAGCTCTGTATCTTAGCGCCTTGAAATTAGCTGGACGTGCAAAACATACCCAGAGTTTTGAAGTCATGACGTTTTAACTTTCTCAAGAGTTGGTTTTAAATTCTTTTTCTGCAAAGCTACAGAAAAGAAATTTTGACCTTTGTACAGGCTTTTGGTGTGCTCTTTTGTTTGAGAAAGAGTTGTGATAACTCTTCTAGAAAATCAGTGCATCGTGACTTGACAGGAATTTTCTTTCCTCGGATATCACTGACGCTTCCTCCTCGTTGTTGGTTAATATTAATATACCTGTTTTGATTTACTTTTTCACATTTCTTAACTTTAATTCTGTGTGAACCTGAGAACTTGCTTGGTGGCATTGTTGGTAACAATAAACTCGGTATTTCAGGCAGAGAGCTTTCTTTTGAAGCACTTGACTTTTTTGAATGCTTCAATATTGTAATAGCTCATATAAAGTACTTGGATTTCTCTTTGGAAATTCAAATGCTGGGATATTACTTGAGAGATCATGTTTCCAGTAAGATTAGAGGAGGTCTGGGCTGGTTAATTTCATGCGTGGCAGCTCAAAATAGTAGGGAACTCAGTGACTTGAATGGTACAATCAGATAGTATGCAGGTGAATTTAAAAGGAGCCTAGTCATGTATAACTGTGATGCCAATTACTGCCTGTAATTCTCAAAATAATTCTGGTTTTATGTTAAGGGAGGTAAAGAATGAGCTGTGTCTTGTATGCTGTGAAGTGCTAAATGTTTCATTTCTTCCTAAATTTATGCCTAAATGTTACCACTAGTATGCAGTCAGGAAGAAGGTTTTCGTCCTTGTAATTTGGAGATTAAATGGTTGCCTTTCCTGAGGCAGATGTCATGGTTTTACTTAGTCATCCCCATTCATTATACAAATATTTGAGTGCCTCTTATGTGTCAGGTGTTCTGCTAATTGGAGATTCAGCAGTGAATTCCAAAAATCCTGTGCGTGGAGCTTACATTCTGGTGAGGGGAGAGAGTTGATAAATTAATGAACAAGTAAAATAAGCCAAATGTGCAGGATATGCAGGTCTGAAGTATGCCAGTGCCTCGAGAACAAGAAAGCAGAGAAGACAGCAGCAGCAGCGCTGAGAGGCAGTTTGCTCTTTTAAATAGGTTGTTCAGGGAAGGCCTCACTGATAAGATAATACTGGAGAAGAAATCTGAAAGTGGTGAAGGCGACACTGTGATCATCTGGGGAAAGAATATTCCAGGCAAGGGGAAGGGCAGGTGTACAGGTCCTGAGGAGAAAGGCCTGTCAAGGATGACTCGGAAGGTTCTGGCCTGAGCCGAAGGAAGGGTGTAGTAGGCATTTACTGAGATAGGAAAGACCTGGAGGGACAGTCTTCCCAAATTTATTGTGAGTGAAGGGTTCTAGAGTTCATTTATACTTAAAATATCTCTGAAGTTGAATGGACACTATTCATATTAAAAAGATTATTTTAATCTTTCCTTTTACTTAATCCTTTTTATGCTCCACAAGCCTCACTAAATTTACCGTTTAGGGTTCAGAGTGTCAAATGACAGAAACAGTACAATTTAGTAACAAGTTTGATGTCCTTTACTTAAGGGGCTACAACCCATGGATTGGGGGAGGGCAGTGCCTCACAAGCAGTGGATTTTGGGCAAGAGCGAGTTTATAGAGCATTAGAGGAGGCAACACGGAGATGGCAGGATTCTCCCGGAGACGGAGGTTCCTGGTAAGGCCGGCAGGTCCTGTTCTAGGGTGAGGGGAGCTCGCTGAAGCTGAGCTGGAGGATTGGGGTTGGTGTCTGTTAGGTTTCCTGGCTAGTGAGGCATTTCCCATAAGTGTGGGCTGGCTTGGGTTTAGATCTGAGACATGGGCCGGGCCACTGGGGTAGCCTCCATTCTGTGGGTCCTGATACACAGATTTCGTTTATCAAGAGCAAGGTCTCCAGCATAAAAAACAAAAATGAACTTGAGAATTTAGGAAATGGTGTGCTTCAGTGGAAATCCTTTTGTGTCTTAGTAAATACAGTCTGCTCGTTGGACTCTGGTCCCAAGTCACCATGTTAATGCCAACATAATGAAAATTGTTCTTTAATTGCTGTTACTTGAGAAGTCTCCTTGGAACACTGTTTCAGCCTTTTCTGTATTTTGGAATGCAAGTGAGCAAGTGAACCATAGAGAAACAGACAAATCCCAAAGCTGGAGGAGCGTGGTGATTAAGGGGTGTTTTATAGTTGCCATAAAGAGGTCAGGGAGCTTTAAAAAAAGGACGTAATGGTAGAGAGGGTGGTCGGGTTAAAGGGCACAGACTTGTTGCATTCAGTTATCATTGCTTTGTCGAAAGGACTGGAACTATGGAGACATGCTCCCTTCTGGCCATCCTCCCTACGGTGGGAACAAGTGCAGGTCCTAGCACTTTGCAAAAAACTAACACGAGTAGAAATGCTAAATTTTTTTAATGTTCAGCAGCTTATAACACCATCTATAGCAACATTTAAAATAATACATTTGTAATTTTGGTATCTGTATCAACTTAATCTTTAATAAACAACTTTGTATATAATGTGTCTTGTTCAGAAATAATTATTTCAATTTAAAGGTGAATTTAGAACTTCTAAACACTTAAAAATATTTCAGGGAACTAGTTCCTTCCCAGTTTTCTGCTGTGGATAAAGAATAATTTCAGCAGGGAATGTTTCCCATTTTCTTCGTCCTGTAATTTCTTGGGTGCCTGCTATGTGCCAGGCATCTTCTGGGTAAGCAAGAAAAAGTTCCTGTCCTTGTAGAAACTGACTAATCATGTTAATTTGGTCGATAAAAGTTAGAAAGAAGAATAAAACCAACCAAGGGTGTATAGAATGGATATGGAAGGGACGGGGCACTGCTTTAGATCAAGTGAGCAAGGAAGGCCTCTCTGAGGAAGTGACATTAGCAGCTTCCTTCAAAAGAAACAAAAGCTGAACATGTGCCCCTTTTGCTACTTACACTGGGGAACCGGTTTTGCCAGCATTTATTTCATGGTGTTATGCAGTATTTCACCTACAGCAGATCTGGGCTCTTTATTACTCCATGTTATCGACGTCTCTCCATAGGGCAGTTTGAAGCATAGACCACCCTTCCATCCTCATGCCTCCATTTTCATTTTTGCCAGCTGATTCTCTGTACTCTCGCTCTTCCTCTTCATTCTCCTATAGTGGGCATGTTTTGTTTTGTTTTTTCCCCTAACTTCATTGCTTATTTGCTTTTGATCATTCTCCCATTGAAAGGTAATTTTCTTTTATAGAATGAGAAAAAATATATATGTATTAATACATATACACACATATGTATCACTATCATTACACACATAAAAATGTCAAGTGTTTTTATAGGCTCAAAATTGAAGAAAAGTCCATGGATTTATATAAAATACAAAGAGAAGGAAAATAGAAGTGCTACTGTTGTGTGAATATACAACATGGAGGGAAATATCTTTCTGGTAAATAGAATAGATGCTTGAGAAGAAGAGATGAGACTCCCACATGCCTTTAGAACTCTAGGCCCATCTCAGTTGTCTGAGGGTGATAATCTGTGGAAGAGGGAGAGGTGCCAGAAATCTAGACACTGGCAGAGGGGAATGTACAGGGTATCCAGAAAGTTGGAAACAGGATAAACAGTACGTTGGTTACATTTTCAAGTAATATGCCCAATACCTGTAGCTTCAACCTCCAGACACCTTTTTAGGTGATATACTTCTAAATTTAAAGCAGTAAGTCTAGTTGTTAACCTGAAAAATATGTATAGCAGATGCACTATTTTTCCTGACTCCAGACTTTTTGAACACTCTTTGGCATATTTATTGTACTTTTTTCAGATTAAAAATTCGACCCATTGCTTAATGTCTATTGCTAGATAAGTTTCTAAACATTTTAAACCCTTGATTGTTAAAACCTGTGACTGGAGAGCGCTTGTTGATGAAGCTTCAAGGAGCTAGAATGGCTTCTTCGAGAATATAATGCCGATCCAGCCTCCCTCCCTTTCAGAGAAGAAGTTTCTAGTGTGGTGGGACAAAGAAAACCATTGATCAAATGCATAGTTCCTCATGATACTCGCATGACAAATGTGGGCTGGATAAAAGTTGACTTAGGTGAAGTCACAGCTGGTTGAGTGGTCTCCCTAGAGAGTCGGGTTAATGACCTCATGGCTGCTTGTAGAGAAGGCTCATCTATAGCGGGGTGTTGCAGACCTCTCTCCTGGTTGACATCTGTGGCTCAAGTTCGTGAATATCTGGGAGCAAGTCACACTGGGTGAATAGCTCTAGAGATTGAACAATCCTGAATGATGTACTAAAACTAACAGGATAGAATTTTACAATCTAGTATTTAGGCTCAAAAACTAAATTTCAGAAGTGCTGAGCCTCTAGCAGTAGATATTAAACAGTTTATTCTAGAAAGAACTGATTTTTTTCCCTGCCATCTGATGTATCTGAACAGTGAGACAGCTGAAACATGTGCTAACTATCTTAGGCTGTATTAATACAAGTACTTTATCCAGTTCAACATAGGCCCACCATATCTACTGGTGTTCAGTTTGGGGTGCCGCATTTTAAAGAGATGTGACAAACTAGAGGTGATAAGGCTTCAGAGACTGATGAATGCTCACCAAGCTCAAGAGAGACTGAAGGGTAAACGGCAGGACCAGGTTATCTATTTATAATGAGAATTATAACTGCCGTCGGGATTAGCCTTCCAGGTCTTCCGCTTGCTCATTCATTCATTCATTCATCAACAAATATTTACTGAGAGCCTAACCATATTCCAGGCACTGTTCTAGGCATTGGGGGTACAAACAGATAAAAATTCCTGCCCTCGAGGAGTTTATGCTTTAGTATGGGGAGACAGATACATGAAATACGTAAGTTAGTGGTAAGGTATGTTAAACCGTCGTATATGCTACAAATAGTATGGTCAGAGAAGGCCTTGCTGCGAAGGTGGAGGAGTAACTGTGATATGAGGAGGAAGGGCATCCACATAGAGGAACAGCAGACCTGGAGTGTCTGTGGAACAGCAGAGAGGTCAGATGTGATGGGATGGAGTGAGGAAGAAAGGAAGTGAAGAGAGAGACTAGTAAGGAGACGAGGTCAGAGAAGTCATGTGTGGGGGGTGCAGATTATTTAGGGTATAGGCATGGAAAGGATTTTGTCTTTTCCTCTGAATAAGATGGAAGAAGCCATGGAGGGGTTTTGGCAGAGGGAAGACTTGACCTGACATATATCTTACTGGGATCACTCAGGTTCAGTGTTGAGATTGGACGGTAGCTGGAGGTGGAGTGGGCTGGAAACCAGAGTAGGGAGGCCAGTTAGGAGGTTACGACAGTAATCTGTGTGGCTTGGAGCAGGATGGTAGCAGTGGAAGTGGTGAGAAGTGGTTAGGCTCTGCGTATTTGGAAGGTAGAGTCAACAGCACAAGCTGTTGAATTGGATGTGGGCCATAAGAAAATGAGAGAGTCAAAGATGGCTGAGACTTTCCTGAGCACCGGGAAGGGTGGAGCTGCTCTTACCCGAGAAGAAGGAACTGTGGATGGAGCAGGTTTGGGGGTGACTGTCAGGAGGTACATCTTAAGTTTGAGGTGCCCATTAGACATCCAGATGGTTAGTATATCCTCCTTCTGAAGGCCCTTTTAAGTGGAAAGCCAGATCATAAACAGTTTTCCTAAGAATGAAGAATGAAAAGCGGGAATTGAAGGATCACAGCGACTCATCTCTGATAGCCTGAGGCATCCACCTTCCTCTCCCAGGGCCCTGAAGCAGCCCCCCTTGGACAGTGCTGGGGAAACAAGACCAACTTCTGTCGTTGGCCTCCTTTTCTGGATCCACCATAGCTGTTCCCTTTGTACATGTTGTTCTTCAGAAGGGGTGGAGCAGCCTGTAGCTTTCTGTCTTTGTGGGGTTGTACTCTCTTGAAGCTTGGCTCTCTCACCTTGGTTGCATCTTAGTAACTCCCTCAAACCATTTTTAGATCATTACTTGAAGTGGGTTACTTATTTTAATGGCTGGTTACTGGAAGGGTTGCTTTGTCCCCCCCCCCCCACTTTCCTTTTGGAGAGTACACTTATCTTTATTTAAGTCTCCTAGTAATAAATGTTAGTTGAGTGAAAATTGGTGGAATACTTTGTGTCTCTTCTAAGTATCTAACTATAGGGTGGTATTTAGAATAACTAGGGATATTTTCCTTTTAGAAGTAAAGATAAATGGTAGCCCCAAATGTTTGAAAGGATTATCACGTAAAATAGGGAGTTGGCTTCTTTTGTGTTCACCAGGGGGCAGAGGATTGCTTGCAAGTAGAATTTACAAGAAAACAGAAGAAAGAACTTAACAGTTTGTGCCATTCCACAACGGAATAGGCTGTTTCTTGATACTGTAGGAGGATTGTGGGAAACATTCAAAGAGAAAGTAGGTGACCATTCAGTACGTTGCAGTGATTTCTGTATTACTTGAGGAGAGAGATTTCTGAAGTAGCTTCCAGCATTTGAGATTGCTATGATGTCATCTTTCTCTTTGATACTGAACCATCGGTGCTATTAGGGAGAGTATAACTGGAGTAATATAGTTCACCAAGCTATCTTTATTCCTGACTTTTTTCCTTAGCTGGCAAAAAAGTATATTTGTGAAATGGTTGGCCGGAGTCCAGACTAGAATGTGTGGTCCTGTCATGCCTTATCATGGTACTAAGATAATTAGATGATCATCGGATGACCTTGTCTTCTTTAGCTTTAGGCTCTAGCTGAGTACGCTGATTAGTTAATGGTTATTGAGGTTTGTGTGCAGTGGAGCACTGGCTCAAGGTTGGGAAGATACAGTTCTTGCCCTATAGGGTTTAACCTGAAAACAATAGTGTTAGAATGTACAGGAGAACAAGACGGATTTATCTTCCATACATATGGACCCAATCTGGCATGTAACCTCTGATATCTCCAGAAGTCCAGAATAAGCTTTTGTATGTTTTGTATGGTATAGGCTTACAAATATGATTACATTTTATGAACCACCATACATTTTATGAACCTCCTCCATATATGTGTGTATGTATACATTCATACATTATTACACTGTAGGAGAAATAAAAATAATTATGTAGACAGGTTAGCATTCTTAATGCTCATCAGAATAAAGACATATTCATTTATGTCAGCATCCAAATATTAAATATTTCCAAGGCTGGTCTAGCACATTGTTGATTTTTTTGCATATATATTTTCTATCATGTTTGAAAATTAATTATGATACCATTTGTATTTTATAGGATCTAAGCCTGTTCCACGTTATGGTTATAAACCCTCCCCACCGAATGGATGTGGCTCTCCACTGTTTGGTGTTCATGTAAATATTATTTTTTATTTGATAAGTTTTATGATTGGTAGGCTATGTAATACTCTTGACAATGCGAGACTATCGGTATGTTTTCAGGTTCACGAATAATTTTGCTTGTTGTAGCAGTGACCAGGTTTATTATATTCTTTTATAGCTAAAACATATTTAATAAGTCCTAACAAAACTAAATGGAATAAAAGTTTTATTTTTTAATCTTATAGATCTTAATTTTAAATGATACTTCCTAATGTCACAAACATGGTTTTAAAGTTTGGAGTAAAGAAGTAATACTACTTAGATGAGAAGTATAGATAAAGCATAATATTTTCTGTATTAAAACCAGGCTAGGTGGGATAGCTGTGTGTTTGTTGTAGGGGAGGCTGGATCTGAGCCAAGTATTACGGAAAAACGTTTATGATAGCGATTCCTAGACACAAGAGTTTTGTGTATGAAGTTATTTAAAAATAGTTAAAGATAAGTTATAGATTGGAAGGAACAGTATCTCTGGAGAATGGATGAACACTTAAAGATTAAATCACAAAAACAAAAAACAAAATTTGAGTTGTAGGAGCTTAAAAGTTTTCTTTTGCATTTCATATAAAGTACATTTTATTGGGGGAGGAGGTACAAAATACTTTGGAATATCCAAAAATCATGCTTGCTTAACCTCTGGAGAAATCTTTTAATGCTCATAGCCTTACCTTTCTGTTTTTAAAACTATGTTTTGTGTTTTGGACAATTAGAAGTTGTGCCTGTTACTAGCAGATAACTGAATATTCTAACATTGCGAAATAGGAGCTTTGAGGCATGGCTGAGAGGGAGACCGTGGAGTAACGTGGGTGGGGTGCGGATGAGAGTAATGGAGAGATGGAGAATAAGGAAAACATTTGTAGGCAGAAACTGATTTTGGAAATTATCTATACAGCGGTCATTGTCATTGATTTCTAGGTCTATTTGAATGCAGTTCTTCAGCAGGAGAGTTTGGAAATTCAGCAACAGTAATTTATCCAAATGCCTCTTTCAGCTTAACATCGGCATCCCTTCCCTGACGAAGTGCTGCAACCAGCACGACAGGTGCTACGAGACCTGTGGCAAAAGCAAGAACGACTGTGACGAGGAGTTCCAGTATTGCCTCTCCAAGATCTGCCGGGACGTGCAGAGGACACTGGGGCTAGCTCAGCACGTGCAGGGTGAGGGGACTGGCGGGGCAGGGCTGAGTGCTATCTGTCAAGCCTTATGGGGTGCTGTATGTCTTAGTACAGGATTTACCAGTAGAAATCTTTCGCTATGTATTACTTTACCTATTGTGACACGGCCCTTTCAGTTTTCTGAGGAGTCGATGATTTTGTAATCTAAAGTGGTTTATACTCACAGAAGCAAAAAGTGTTAGAAAACCTTGGGAGGAGGGTGTGTGAGGCAGAGAATTCATCCAGATCTCTTGCTTTGAAGTATATCTCTAATTATCCAGAGGTTGAAAGTTTGAAACCCTGGATCCAGTGAATTGAAGAGTATAGCACATTGGATTTGCAGTAGAAAGTTCTAGAAGATTTGAGTCTTAACTCTGTCTCTTCACATGTATCTGTGTGAGGAGGGTCCCCCAAGGTTCGGTGATTTGCTAGGAGGACTCATGTGGTGATATAAAGGGATACATGATGACAATGGAGTGTCCTTGTTTATAAAGTGAGAACGGTAATACCCATCTCAGAGTTGTCCCGAGGGTAAGATGAAATAGTTCTGGAAATACAGGTCACAGTGCAAATACGTGTGGTTACAAGATTTCTTTGTCAAGTCAAAGAACGTACCATACCCTGAAATCAGAAGAGGAAGGGCAATGAGAAGGGACAGGAAAGGAAACTAACATTTTTAGGCACTTCCCATAAGGTACTGTGCTAGATACTTGAGACATGTTTTCATCGAAGTTCACAAAAACCCAAAGAAGTAGGTGGCATTATACCCATTTTTCAAGGAAGGAAACTGAGATTCAGAAAGAAGTAACTTGCCCCAAGTTACATGCTTCTGACTCTAAAACTTTTGTTCTGTCTACTACAGTATTCCCCAAATAGTCTCCTATTATAGGTCTGATTCTGAAATCCTAGTAATGTCAAGGAAGAAATCTCTGCTCCAGGAGAAGCTGAACTCACAACCTCTAAATCCACTTGCATGCTTCCCGCTAAAGTAAACTAGTTGTACAGCTGAAGCATCAGTGGATGTACTTCTGTCTTCTGATCTAAGGACATACTAATGTGGCTAAATGATGAAACCAGTCTCCTTTCAGTCTCCTATGTAATAATCACAACCTTATCCTTCTGTGGTTGGTTGTGTTCCTTAACGCACACAGTCTTTTGGAGAACTTTGAAAATGTGAAGATTTTGTGATGAAGTTTCTTCCTTAACATGAATATTTGAAACTGGAAGTATTTGGACAACTAAAAGCTACTCTATCCTCTGTCTCTGTAAGTGTGATGTATTGAGATTGTCTCACCTGGATGTTCCAGGTTTCTTAGAATAAGAAAAGTAAGTCGATTAATTTTTTATAATAAAGTCTTAAAAAAACTTTAAAAACCTCACCAGAGGAAAAACACCTTTGATTCCTTTGTCTCCCCTCCCAAGCCAAATCTGGGTATTGATCAAAGAAAGAGGCTGGGGTCCATTTACTTTAAGCATCTTAAATGTATGATCAGTTCTTAGAAGCCATTGGCCATAATTAAATGTTTTGAGGTTTCTGTTTTTAACCTTCATTTCTTCTGCACCTAAAAATCTTTCCTTGAAGTGAAAACTTAAGAGTATTATCAGGCATCTCTATTGGTGATATTTTTCAGATGAAGAGAAAATTAACAGTGATGAACTGATCAGTGCTATTGAGAGAGGGACTCTGTCTAGCACAAAAAATTGGGTTGAACAGTTGCCCGCAAACAAGAAGTAGATAGATGGTAAAGAGGCTGAAACTGAAACTTTGTATATATGCAGTACTGGTTTCCGGAGAGTTTGGGAGGACTTGGGAGGACTTGCAAAACCTAGCATACGTGTAAGTGCCCACTGAGGCTGTGCTGGAGGCTGTGCTGTCTCGTGTAATACAGGTGAAGAGAGAGCCATGGTTTGCAGTTGCCCAACAGTAACGGCCCTTTCTTACTCTGCAGCGTGTGAGACAACAGTGGAGCTCCTGTTTGACAGTGTGATACATTTAGGCTGTAAGCCGTACCTGGACAGCCAACGCGCCGCGTGTACATGTCGCTACCAAGAAAAAACTGATCTTTAAAGAAGATGCTGACAGGTGGTGACAGCATGAGCAGCAGACGAGGATGGAAGAACATAACCTTTGACAAAGAACTAAGGTTTTTACAGCATGAAGCTGCCTTATTTTTGTGAAAGGATTATTTTAAGACCTTGTTTTGACATTCAAACTAAAGAAAAAAAGTGGGGAAGGTTATCTTCCTGGACATCGCTCCCTAGTGTGCCCAATTGTCTTGACCAGTCTCAGAAAGAGGTACATGTTAAGGGGAGAATTTTTGAAAGAAAAAGTTGTAACTCAATTTTCACAACCACATTTACCAAAAAAATGAGATGAAATGTAAAATTCATCAAAAAGTATGTTCAGCATTATTTTATTTGGAAATATGGGGAGATCTTCACTTAGAAGTATATTTGTTTACTATAAATTTTAAGTATACGTTTATGCCTGGAAGGATCTGACTTTATTTTTTTTCTGTTTTAATTAACACATAATGTGCTGTTTTTCTGTAGCCCATTGAGCATATGAATGTCACACTTCTTTAATGACAGGACCCGTTAGGAGGACAAGGTTTCCATGTCTGTTTCTCTTGTAAAATTGGAACCCTCAGCTGGTGACCTCTTAGGGAGCAAAACCAGGATATCTAGGTATTACATAAATACCTGTACAAAATTTGGAAGCACAACCACTCCCATTTTAAGTTTTTATAGGCAGAACTGGGAAGAAGGAAAATATGTTCTGGAGAAAGGGCCATATTCCTAACTTGGAACATCTGTCATTGCTGAGAACCCAGTAGCTCCCCAACTGAGATGGTGGGAGCTGTTCTGCTAAGAGACACGTCCTCGGTTAGACAAGGCGAGTGTAACCCTCATGGTTAAGTGACCAAACTCTCCTCCAATTTAATGTTTGGAACCCTTAATTGATGTTTTTCAGACTTTTAAAAAGGTACAGTTTTATAAGCCATTATCAATATTTAATCTTCTTCCACGTTTACTATTGAAATACCTGACTTATAATAAATTAAAGAAATTAATAAACTAAAGGTGTAACAATAAATTCATGGATTTTCTTGGCAGCATTGACTTTCTCAAGAAGAGAAGCTCAAAATGTCTTTGTAAAATATTTAATTCATGGTCATAAATTATATACAAAAAATCAGTAGAAGCTGTTTTTATATGTTAACATGTTTGTTTTTTTAACCTGTTACCTTGGAATCATGTTAGATTTGCAGAGGGCCCGCCCGGTGGCGCAGGTGGTTAAGTGCACACGCTCCGCTGCGGCGGCCCAGGGTTCGCCAGTCCCGATCCCGGGCGCGCACCGACGCACTGCTTGGCAAGCCATGCTGTGGTGGCGTCCCATATAAAGTGG